GCGTCATCAGGTGACATTGTAAAACATGTTTGTTCTTAATATGTCAGCGCAGATAATGAAAATAATGGAGGCAAAATTAATAGCAAATTAGAGGGTTGTAATGCAATAATAGTGCACCACGACTATGAGTGGCATCCTCGTGATCACTGTCCTCGTGATGTCTCCCATACATACCCACATTAGAGTGACGGCACTCGTTTTTGTAGCGTTTGTTACCTAAATTACTACTTACTCTATTGTAATAAAGAATAGTTTAATCCATCCACATTCTATGAACAGACCATATGAATAGGATATAGTAGATGTAGTGTGGAGGTATATACTCGTAGTAGATCTATATCAAAATCTCGCTTAAACCAGTTTAAATAAAAATTAACACGTTACATTCTTTAAAACATGAGATAAAAAAGTTATAGATCTATGTGTGTTGAATCTTCATAGAAATAATACATTCTTTATTACTAATATCACAATTTGGACGTCACATTGATTTTTTCGACAATCTTCGTAGAATTCGTACCAATCTCTAAATAAAAAATTACTAAATTACTTCGACTCGTCTTCTCATTAATATTGTCAAATTAATATCTATATTAGTCTTTATTCGCATTCGTTTTAAGTTTATAATTTCACTACATAAGTTTAAGTATACTTCGCATAATAATGATACCGTATTAGGTCTACAATCTAGATTATATCCTTAAATTGTATTTCAAATATGTTCCACTGAATGTAAACTGTTTTGTATATAAAATAATAAACTAAACAATAAAATAAAATACTTATAGGACTTATGCTGGGTGTGAGCGGCACAGGACCGGGAAAGTTGACGTGCTCAGGGGGAGGATTATATCCAGCACTAGATACGTGTAAGCGGTTAATATAAGACATAATTGCTTAAGTATACAGCCATTTGCCAACATAGCTATAACTACTGTGCTTTAAAATCTTCCGTCACAAGTAAAGGAATCTGTTTTATTGTAATAACATTTCACGAGACTTGTCTCCTTATCGCTTCTTTGTAAGACTGTTGATGCTCGTAAACAGCACACAATTTATCATTATTATCAACGTGTTCTAAATTTCATATAAAAACCTACTTAAGAGAAAATAGGTTTTCTTTTGTTTAATAATCTCCAACGCACAGATAAAGTGTCATTAGTAAACGATCTGTGAGTTACTATGATTAAAGAAAATTGTAATAGAGTATTTATTGGTATACATCATTAATATACATTTTCAATTCATATTTAGCAATATTATGAAATACCGTAGCTATATCGGGATAACAGATGATATCCGAGTTCAGACATATACCAATAGACTTGGTCCAATATTTAGAGTAATTTTGAGCTATTTGCTGGGTCGATAATTATTATGAATACCGATTTTTCAACAAAAGCTAAATATTCAATGCTGTGCTTTAAACAAACAAAGAAAAATAATGTTCCTAAAAGTTTGATGAGTGTTTGGCTCCAATAAAGTTGACTTAAAATTTTTATGCTTAGTAAGTTTAATAATTACTGGATTTACTTTCAGATATCAGATAATCATTTAATATAGCAGTTTTGCTTATGCATTAATAAACAGTATATTAAGTTCATTTGTGTAGCGTGTATATTTAATGTATCAGTTTTCGTTGCTAGTATAATATAATATTTTGTTCGAAAAGATAGGGATTTTCGTAAACAAATATCATTTGTAATTTAATTACCTACTTATTCTTACAAGACGAACTATTGTGACACTTGTACGTGCATAAAATATTCTTCTTGACACACAACTACTTGTTATTAATATATTTAATAAATTTTAGACATTGCCTAATGCAAGTTCAGCATTGTATAGAATGCCTAGAACAACTGTAAAGATCTTATTACATTCATTGCCTGACTGTTTTAGGCATTCTATAGAATACCGAGTTAAATACATTGTTGATAACATAATGTACCATGCACATTGACTTACTAATAAATGGACGACGGGTCTAATACAAAAACCACGAAAAAAATGTCCCAAGTCAACCTATTCGAAATTTAAATTGTTATGTCATCGCAGTATCGCGCTGTCCGTAGAACAAATGAAGACTAAAGCGGAGTGTCGCGCTCTGTATACGATTTTAGCGCCTTACAAGTGCGGACACTTTTTAGCGCGGACCCGACGTCCATATAATTGTAAGTCAATGACCATGCATGAAGAATTAGCAAAGTACTTGTTAGATCCGCCAAAAAAGTTAGTTTGTAAGATATCCGTTGATATCGATAATTCTTCAGTGATAAGTGCAATAGAGGACGCGAACGATTATTGACAAATTGAGTATGAGTGTGCGCAGAATTGTTTTAGTTTAATCCAAATTTTCATCAACGAAAAACAAGTTCTTATTATCGTGACAATGACGCATGTGACTAAATTGAATATTTATGTATTGTAAGCAATAAAAGTTATGATGTGATTCAATGAAAAATAATGTAAAAACATCATTGTATCAATTCTCTCCTTACTGCTTGTAAGTACTACATCGACATGTCTTATTGGTACCTATAGAACATTTTATCTCTTGCAAAGTAACATCGCAAGGGTCTGAGTCAACGTACTTAATTGATGGAGGTCAAATTAATGTTTTTTTAATTGTAACTCTCTTGGACAAGGCGCAAAGAGCAAATTTCACGAAACATATCTAATGATATCGTGAATCATTCGTGTAGGCAAATGTATTGAGACGTTTATTGTTTCTTATCTGCCAAGGTACGTACTGGCATGTCGGTCATACAATTACGCAATTACGTATACAACCAGAACTATCGGAGGCAGGCTATGGACGTTTTGTAGTTTTATTCGTTTTAAGGAAGTTGTACCTTATAGGAATATAGGTGTGTTCTAGACCCATTGAAAAAGGACTGGGCCTATCAACCCGCTCAACGGAAGCTCTACATTGTGAGGGACACTCCTGCGCATCGTGCGTGGCGGCCTCAATTGTCTGATTGATCTTTATGAGGCGTCCACGCCCTCGCCGTGTCGATCGAAAGAATTGACTGAATGAACAATTTTCACAGTATTTCTTTCAATAGATTGCAGACGTATATTTAATTTTATATTTTTATTGTATGAAATAGCGGCTAAAAATTCTTATTTTATATTAAATAACAAATCCTTTTCGTCAGCGTTGTAAGTTCCAGGCGCGTGGGCAATTGTACTTAAAATTTATTTCAGTTCACTAATCTGTTACCTAAACAAACTTTTACTCGTTTTAGCCAAAAAGATACGTTTCATCTAAATTATAAATCAAAACCAATGATATACAACGTACTGGTAAATGCTGTGATCTTGAATACCATTTAACATGTAATGCAAGAACATTTGTTACATAAAGTGCCCATAGCAGTGGGCAGACAGGTGATTCTGGTACATTGAAACTATTTCGCCCTCTAATAGTTTCCCTTTAATTTTTGTCACTCATTCTTCGATTAAATATTTACCTAAGACCGAAAAGTTGTAACCAGCACTTTCAGAACATTTTAAGACTTTACGCTCTACACAAAAATAATGTTTTCTATGTACCTACATGTTGTTAAGAAGTCAGTACTTACCTCCAGCAGTTTCTAGGTCTTAAATTTATTGTTATTATTACTTGCTGTATCCATATACGATACACAATTTTAGATTGAAAAATATTCGAATTTTTCCTTACGAGATAACTTCTACGGTGAGGGTCGGACAAAAGTGATAATTTTGGTTCATTCTTTTCTTTTATCGTATAATACGATTCAATCGAATTCGTTGATATATAAAAAAAGGTACAAGTTAATGTTTATAAAGGTACAAGTTCTCACTGACTGTATGAAGTGGTGAGCGCATTTCCCGATATGGAGAAAAGGCATAATAACGAGATAGCCTGAATGTAGAAATTAGAAACACTCAAGGCCTGAAAAAACTTATAACACTTGAAGTACCTTCTTTGTACTCGGAATTATGTATATCGGACGAGACGGCTCCCATAATACTATAATAATACAAACTTAAAGTTCTTAGAAATTATAGGAGCTAGGTAGGGGCACTCGAAGGAATGTTATATCTAATTAATAATAGGGTACAACTATCTATGAAAAAATCAAGATGGAGTCCGAAAGCGTCTGAAAAAACTGTCTTTAATCAGTACGCTTAGCAGGATAGGGCGCATCATACGCGAGAGCGACATAAAGTGCGAGATCTCTTTGCGAGAATAGAAGTAGATATGTCGCGTTTTATATCGCTCTCGCTCAACTCGCGACCTGTCGTGCAAGCCCTACAGGCTAAAAATTGGCATGTGGCTTCTAGCACTTCGTAATTCGAAGTCAAATATATTTTTCCGCCATTGTTCAATATGGCCGTCCGTAAAACTTAAGGCCAAAATTCTACTGTCTGCGAAGATAAAGGTCTATGCGGCCGAACTTCCGTATAAGGCGGAACCTACAGCACGTCGCTGCTTGAACCCGATCAGCAGCACAAGCTGAGTCCATCAGTTAGAGCACGTATATAGGTCGCGTGTCTTTACGATAAATGTTTTTTGTTGTTGAAATTCTTCCCAAAATTCTTAGTAAAAGGAAAACGTCACAAGTAGATAAGTTAGTGTTACAGAAAATGTTAAATAGATATTTAGATTTGTCCTCGAACTAATTAAATGGCTGTCGCTTAATTATCGAACATTATCGTTACGGTAATAGCCACTGTCCTAATTACTCCGGATTTTAAGGAAATCACTAAATCGTTATTTTATTTTTATTATGTGCGCAATATAAATCAATATCCTAGGTAGTAATATATAAAGCATTATAATAGATAGTGAGGTAGGTGGATTTTTAATTATTTGATTATACGAGTATGTATATGTAGATATTGGGAACATGTGAAGTAACGTCTTTCCCGAAGGCAAAGTCTGTTTTTGTGGATTAGGTAACCTAAAAATTGCAAAAGAACTGTGAAACAAATAACAAATACTACTAAAGGACCATATATGTACCTACCTGTACATTTTGATGGTTCTTCTTAAATTAGTAGGTACGCAATACTGACTACAATTGCGACGTCCTCATCACTAAAACAGATGTTTAGTGTTCTGCAGAGTTTCATTTGAAACTTTTGACGCACTGCACAATCCTATAGCAAGAGAACGGAAAGCGTTCGTTGAGTTGATTCAATTAACTCGTCTGCCCGCCCAGATTCCTTCGAGTAGCTCCTTCCTCCTCAGAGGTCCAGACAATACTAACTCTTGTAATCTTTTATCAATTTTCCCCTGCGCCCGAGCACAATGCTAATCGAGGCAGTACTCGGCCGTTATGAGACAATACCGCTGCAGATTGTCAACGCTTCGACCACATTGGATTATTATATCTAAATGCTTCAATTGGCCGGACGATATTGAGTGTTCTGTAACTAGTTCTAAGTTTGATAAGTAAACGACTGTCTTTGCTTTTATTGCACGTCAATAATGATAAGAAATATCGCACACGACTATGCGCCCGCCTCCAAAAACAATTGTTTTATTTAATAAGTGTTTACTAAGTGGCTTCAATTGGTTAATAGAACCGTATGGCAGTTGCGCTTCTCGAAATAATAGGTATGTAATCGACCAATTTGCTTACATAAGTCTAAATAAAATTATTTAATAGCAGCTTGCCGTATGTCGTTACAATTTGCAAAGCAACTTGTAAATAATGTAACTTACCTGCTTTAAGTACTTAGCAAGATTAAAACTTTTGTAAAGTTACAACTCAGTAATTTAAAATTTCCCTCTAATTTGTTTGTGTCATTATTGGGTAGAGCCACTAGCTTAAACAGATAACAAATAATTATGAAACTCAGTACGTAATAAAACCTGAACTATAAATTTATTTGTGTAATATCTACTTGCAAATTCCCGCCACTTTTTGTGTAATTTGTTTGGGTTTGTTAGCTTTATTTGTAATATTTGAAGAACACCTATAAAATAGAAAGAAACAAACTTAGTTGCTTAGTACGTCATTCTCTTGATTGTTATCTCTTTCTAACACAAAGACATATAAAAATTCCTCACAAATAACTTTCAATGTGAAGGAAAAATGAGGGGATTCGCTCTGGACCTTTTTTTTTAAATCTTCGATTAAGGCACAATAGCACTATCCTATTCCACTTTAAACTAGTTTCACAAAATAATTGAAAGTCAAAATAAAAACGACACTTTTCCCTCCAAAAGGTCCAGAGCGAATCAACAGAAACATATTTAAACTTCATGTTTAGGCTGATGGCTTTGCCAAAGCCTTAATAAATTAAAAAAAAAAAAGGAATAATGAGGATAGGAAAAATGGCGGGTTTTAGTAGTTACATTTTTTGCAAGAATAAATTTTTAATTTGTATATTACGTTGTGCGTTTCTTGATTATTTGTTACCATTAAGCTAATGGCTCTGAATCCAATGCTTTATAAATAAATAACTTCAGTAGAGAGTATTAAAAAAACAGACCTCAAAAGTACGTGGAATTACATCTATTTGCCAAGTTTTATTGAAATATCCCCTAATTCGCCACTATACACTTGACACAGGAGATAATAAAAATCGCTTCTCACTACTCAAAGTATATTGAGAGAGAAAAACGCCTTGAATTGAAGAAAAGCAAAACCAACCATTAAAATAATTGCTCCTTAAGTAAAATTTAGGCGCTATTTATAAAAATGAATGTTGATGCGTGATCAGCCACCCTAAGGGTCGTACTCTAGAACTCTACTTAATGCTCAAGTCAGGATTTGAGTATGGTTTAAAGCACTCGAAATCATACTCAAGTCTCTGCCATTAGGGTCGTATTTCCAGTGCTTGAAATCATACTCAGATCCTGACTTGAGCATTGAGTAGAGTTCTGGAATACGACCCTTAGAGGTGGATGATTTTCTTCAAAATGAAATGGTACCACTATGGAGGTACCCTTTCTCCAACAAAAAAGAATCATGAAAATCGGTTCACAAATACCGGAGTTATCGCGTACCAAACTTGGTGCAACGGGCTGGTATCCGCAACTCGACGATAAAGCGCCTATTTTGCGTGGAGTTATCGCGTACCATACATACCAAAAAAAACATACAATCGAATTGAGAACCTCCTCCTTTTTTTGAAGTCTAACCGACTTCATATATAAATAGGAAAAATGGGTTGGCGGGTTTTAATAGTTACATTTTTTACACGAATTGCTTTTTAGTTTATGTATATTACGTTGTGCGTTTCTTGATTATTTGTTGCCATTAAGCTGATGGCTCTGAAGCCAATGCTTTATAAATAAATAATAATAGTCATCATTTGTGTTGACATTGACAGTTGACATATATGACAGAACGAGGCGTTTGCGGCTTTTTCGCGTGTGTTGTATTTTATTTTGGTGGGATTTATTTATTTTTGTTCATAAATGAATGGTTCGTGAAGTAAAATTTCTAACATAAAAATGAACGCTACTAGTCTGTACGTGTCCACATGTCGGCTGATTATATTGGCTGACGCGGCAGACAAATCTTCATGGACAGATTTGTTTCGTTTGGTTCCTTACCTGCGGCAGTCCTTATCCTGCACAGTTTGCGGTAATTTATTGAAGGAACCGTACACTCCAACGAACTCTAGTTGCCAGCATCACGTTTGTAAAAAATGCAAAGGCGGGAGGAAGAAATTGAAACCTTCTTGTAGTTGGTGCAAGGACTACGAAAATTACGCGGAGAATTTGCAGTTACGTATTCTTCTTCAGTGTTACAAGAAGTTATGTGAATATTTCATTGATACTGATGTGTATAAGACGTTATTAGAGCAAGACGAGATAGCCGCTGGTGTAAACGGCGGAACAGTTGCGAGTTCAGGTCTAATTGACCTGATACAAGAAGGAGCTGGATTCAACGACGACTACAAAAGTACGGCGGGGTTATCAAAGTCGGCCTACAGCATATTACCATGTGTATACACAAATTCTGCATCAACACAGACACAAGCAGCGTCAACTTCCAGTGGAACAGAAACAAGGTCCTCTAGTAAGGACTCACCAAACTCTAGATCAGTTTCTAATGGTTCCCCAATGTATTCTGTGATGTATGCAGGTTCAGGTAATAAAATAACCATTAAAAGGAAAGCAGTTGATGAAACTGAGTCATCCCAAAGTGACCCTCCTCCTCGGGAGAGCAAATCAAAGGTATTAATATTATATTTATGAATAAAAATATGGATGTTTACATCCATGCACCTGTAGTTTTTGCATTATGTATCTCATTTAACTTGATGACAATATGTTTTTTAGAATCAGTTGGGGTTCAAAAAGCCATCAAACCGGTCCCGTAGCTCAGCCAGTAGTAAAAGAAAAGGTTGTCGGTGTGGCAATGCCACTGCCACTCCTGGCAAGCTAACCTGCTGTGGACAGAGGTGTCCATGTTATGTTGATCAGAAGCCTTGTACTGAATGTAAATGTAAGGGCTGTAGAAACCCACATAGACCTGATGGAATGAAGGTAAATAAATCTTTATTTAATTATACCATGTTACTAGTAAAATGTGTAACATAGTATACATTTCATTTTTATCTTTACTCTTGTATGTGTCACCAGACTTACACACTTAGGGTCGTAGTCCAGAACTCTATTCAATGCTCATGTGAGGATCTGAGTATGATTCAAGCAATGGAAATACGACCCTAATGGTAGGCACTTGAGTATGATTTCGAGTGCTTTAAACCATACTCAAATCCTGACTTGAGCATTGAGTAGAGTTCTAGAATACGACCCTTAGACTTACACACAGACTAAGTGTCGTATTCTAGAACTCTACTCAATGCTCAAGTCAGGATTTGAGTATGGTTTAAAGCACTCAAATCATACTCAAGTCCCTGCCATTAGGGTCGTATTTTCAGTGCAATCCTGACTTGAGCATTGAGTGGAGTTTTAGAATACGACCCTTAGACACTTAATTAATTTAAATTTTTTTGTACACATAATACTGTTTTCTAATTGCATTCTTCACTAGTCAACCATTGATATAATCTGTAATTTATGAGTGATTGCTATAGTTACTATATTTCACACACCCTACTGGTGCACCAGAATATTCACCATTATAGCAATTTTTACAGCAGCAGTATTGTCTCGATCTGAAATACTGCAAATCCCGGTAGTGTTTTGTAATTTCATTACAATAAGAATCTTTCATCTTTTACAGAAGGAAAAAATTATATCAATTTTACAATAGAAATAGCTTATTTTGCGAAGTAAAATTATAATGGCTTCTTTAATATCAAATGTACAGTCAACAGCACATCAAGCTTTACACTTTCATTCATAAGTCGCTTCCAGTGCAATGGAACAAGATCCATCAATGTGTAGCTTGATGGGCCTCTGACTATTATAAAGTATGTTAAATTTGTCTTCTAACTATGTTATTAACCTCAAAAATTACAAAACACTGAAAAATCGTTATTGCTATAGTTGGTATAGCGTCTGGCACGGTATGCAAGAAGACGTCGGTTCGAATCCGACCGGATCGAAGGAATTTTTTCTGAGTGTTTTATCTTTGTATTAATAATTATAACAAACTAGTGGAGTCATTTCACAAAAAAAAAATTGAATATCAATTCAATAAAAATTTAATTAATACAGTGAATAGCGACATCTCTCGCCAGGACTGGTAGCTGTAAAGGTACTAACTGGGTGATAAATCTTTTATAGATTTCTCATAGATGGCGCTACGACTAAAAAGTCGTTGAAAAATCAAATACAAAGACACGACGCAAGCACATAGAAAAATTCGTGAGATCCGTTGGTTCGTTCCGTGGCTTAGTTGGTATAGCGTCTGGCACGGTATGCAAGAAGACGTCGGTTCGAATCCGACTGGATCTAAGGAATTTTTTCTGAGTGTTCTATCTTTGTATTAATAATTATTTAAAAGTTTCTGACGGTTTTATTTTCGAAACATATAATGTTATGTAACTCCAGAGATATTTATTTATGTTTGTATGTTGGATTTTTTTCCTGATTGAAGAGGTTAGAGTTAGACTTTAGGAACCGTTTGGTACATACAACTAATTTTTGGATCATTTTGTGGATTGCATCCTTTTTGCTTAACTACATCTAATTATAAGTAAAATCTACTAGGACTGACCATTAGTATGGGTGGTAAATTTTTATTGTAAATATATAATGATTATTATGAAAATAGTTTTATGGGCAGCATGTCAAGAGTTCTTTAAGCTTCTGTTCATATAGCAAATTGTTCCTCCTTATAGGTGAGACCGCATATACCTCAACTGGAGACAGTGCAGTTAACGCTCAACAATCCTGATAGCTCACCGTCTTGCTCAGGGTCCATGGATAGTTTGGATGCTGACCAGTTTACTATGGAAGCTATGGAGGAAACTTTAGGCTTTAGCTCTGAACTTAAGTCTTCTAATATAAAAGGTATTTTGTAATTACATTTATTTTGAAATTACTTTATTATTTTCTTAAATTCAATAATAGTATTATGACTCATCGTACGAAATAAATAAAAGCTTTGTTAAATTTAATACTTTACTTCGCCTTTATTTAATTCACATTTTAAATAATATTTGTTTTTATTTTCAGTGTACACAAGCCAATTACAAGAAGTGTCGCCTTCGTTACCTGCATCAATAATGATGGATGAAGAGCTGACAGGGTCTCCTGATGACCACATGAGTTCGCCTCATGAGTACACATTGGGTTCCCCTCAGGAAGTGGACCCTGACGCTGCATCTCCTCAGTCGGGTGGCACGCACGAAGTCACCAGCGACATTGAGGTGGATGTATGACATCCACTTGACATATCAAGTGACTAGGACATCCTTACTGTTATGTTTCTCACATGCGTCTTCCGACATGTGCAAGAAAAAACTATTCTCTTTGAAGTGTCGCTCATGATGATTCTTCTAGTCACTTGTATTTCGAACTTTTATAGAGTGTAAGTGTATTTTTGAACTGTGAAGTGTAGATATAGTATTACCATTGAACATTAATGTATTTTTTATATTTAAATTAATGTTTTATTATGAAATCAATACAAGTTGGGTCCATAAAAAGTAAAGAAATAATACAATGAATAATGTAAGTTCTTGTCATTTTAAATTTTACTACAAAGCTTGTTTGCTTAGGTGTTTAGTATTGTAAATTGTGTAAATATGTTAGGTAATAAGCAACGGTCGGAATAGGGTGTTCCAAATGAGTAGACAAATGTCTACAGATACATGGAGTGACATGAAGTGGTTAAAACCACCAAATATTAATTCATTACATTTTTCGAATTCATAATGAAATTCGTACGATATATTATGTAATCTGTAATAAATTATGTAAATGATGTCGCCATTAGTTAAAGCAAGCTTTTGCTGATAGCTCATAAAAATGTTTACTCTGGTGGAAGGTCAATTATCAATTTTTTTTATGTAGTACCACTAGAATTACATTGAAATCCAACTTCAGCTTATTAAGTCTGTGTCACCCTTTTATCTATATGCAGACGTTTATCTACTCATTTGAAACACAACATTCCGACCTTTGGTAAGAAGACAAGAAATATTGAATGAAATTTTTTTGTCAATATAAATGTTTAGATTTTAAGTAAATGATTACCACTACCTGCAGCTTACTTACTACTCTGTGACTTTTTATTATTCTCCTGCAAACCGACACCTACCATACCTACATTCGTAGTAAGAAAACTGTAACAAGTGATAATCATTTATTGAATAGCCACAAGTCTTAAAATGTAGGTTTTAAGATTTTATATCTTAGCATATATTTGGGGGTACGTTGCGGTTAATTTTGAAAGAACATTAAGGTTAACTTGTTATGTGCTTTATTTTTATATTTAGGGGATTTTTAAGATTTTTATGTCATACATAACAGGTAAATAGTGAATTTTATTTTATTTATTATTTTTTTAAATTAAATTCAACGCTAATATCATCCCAATTTCAGTCGTTTAAAAGTCCCCATATATAGTTATTTTATAATATAGTAATCAGATAATTAAATACATATACAATCAAAGATTACCAAAAGGTTGAAAGAGAAATCGCTACTTTTTAAAATTTTTGACCTTCTAGCGTGTGTAAGGTATAGATTTTTGTATATCAAGTGTAGCTGCTATGCAGTAGGATAAATATATATATTTCAGACATTTTTGTAAATCATTATTTGTACTTACCTTTGTTAAAACACTCTCAAATGTGAATGTAGAGGTGAAAAAAGAAATGTGACTAAAGAATGTTTAAATTGAGACTGCACCATACTAAAGCAACCTCTATACATATCACTTCTAAATACGGGTCTCTTAGAATTAGAACGCGGGGTTCCTCGCAATTTTGATGTTTTCCTTCAAATTTGTGACAATGATAAATATAAAACCAAATCACATCAAATTGTTGTATAATTTGGATATCTCCCTTTTAAGTTACATACGCAATGAGATATTGAGGTACGAGACAGTACAGGTAAGAGACCCGTAGAGTACAGGTAAGAGACCCGTGTTCAGTAGTGCACTCTATTACATGTATAACTTGTCAGGCATATTGCTAAAAATTGTAACAATGGAATGATGTGTATTTCATACATGAATTTTGTCGTCATTAATATAATGTAAATATCTACAAAGACATCTGTGATAGTGTATTTATTTAATATTTCAGATAGTTCGAATTCCTACTCTAAAACTTTGACATAAGGCGTGTCTATGTAATCTACAAATAGCACTCGAGTACAAAAATAAATTATCGTTTAAGAACATACAATAATGTAATTTCGCTTTAAAATTAATTGATTGATTAGATGAATTGAATAAAAATCAATATTTTCGTTACTATTGCCTTTTTAATCCGAAACATGTTACACAAATTTAAAAAATGTGAAAGCTAATCCCTAATTTTAGGAAGAACATTTTTATCGCTTATCAAACAAGGTACAGACTGCCAAATTCTGTCAAATTCCTTTTTCAAATTTCTCACCATAGATTTCTCAGTAATAAAAATTGTATTGTCTCCATTGTAGTTAACGTTCTCGAAGTTAATAGAATTTATAAGAGCTGCAGCTCCTTTGAAATCGTCTGTAGCATCCACCAATAAGAATTCGTGTTCCAATCTACTCGAATTGATAACCTTCACCGCGATATCACTTCGAACAAGTTGCTGGACATTGTCAAGGTTTTTGCTGTTGTGTATGGCCACTTCTATTTTCACCTTCTTCGCTCGTTGCGCTTTGATGAGACACTTAGCCAAACTGTTGCTCACGGATTTGGGTACGCACAAGTTTATCGTTTTGTTCGAGTTTGCAATAACGTTCCAAATAAAGCGTAAGTTTTTTAAGCTAGCTTCCTTGGCCACTTCCTTGTTCACATCTCCGTAAAACAACACTGTACTCGTGTCTGCACCACTGTTTGTCATAATGTACCCCACAGGTTTTAATATCTTCTTCGCAAGTAAGAAAACAGCTCTTACAATTGTCCACTGTGGATAATCCATTTTTTATTATTCCTATTGAATTAAGTTTACCGTATAAGGTGATGTTTTTGTAGGTGATCTTGTTAATGTTTTCGAAATACGACGCTGCGCTGCTCGCTCCAATATTTCATCTACCCACCAAAACGTTTTACAATAAAACGTTACTTACCTCCTTATTTCAAAGCTGAAATAAAAAATAAGTTTTGACGTTTCACCGTGTCATGACGGAACAGTTGACGGTGCTTGTTTAATTTTTATACTCATATATGTTTTGTAGGCCGTATATTAACAGTGCAGATTCCAGGTTTGTGCTTGTCTGAAAGTATGTCCCAATCGCGTATACGTAAGCCGCTTACGGCAGCGGCCGCAGGCGATGCTAGCCCGCATCGGGTTCCCACCACTAAGACCCACGGAGACTCTGCCAAGCCCCAGCAACCCCAGCTAAGCAGGAAAAATAAAAGCAGGAGTAAAATACCAAAGAGCATACGCCACGACTTGGAGAACGCTTTAGTTGGTGTAAGCGCTTGTTAATAAATTATTGTTAGCTTAGTGGCATTTATTTTTGTCGTTCTACTAAGTATCCATTCCAGTTTTGTTTAGTGGGCGACATTTATCTGAACTGCCTACTTTTCTTTATTTGCAGCTGTGTGATGTGTGGTTCGAAGAGATCAAACCTCATTTGCTTCGTAACAACATAAAGGTGCACATTCACAACACGGACGGTGCCGGCGTCATCGGCGCGGGCGCAGGAGACCACAACCGCGAGCGCCTGCCGTCCGGGTCGCCTGGCTGCTCCCACCTCAACCCAGGTGCTGCCTCCGATGTACGAGCCTCGCTCAAAAAGTCAAAGTCCGCTAGTGTTGCTAAAAATAAACCTAAAAAAAAGTGCATTAAAAAAAGCGCCGTCGGCTTAAATATAAATAAATTTTACGAGTAATCGTACTTTTTTTATTGCTTACTAAAACCCGATTGAAAAAGTAGAAAGTACGTACGTAGTAAGAAATAGTAAATACTTAAGTTTCTCTCCTAATCTGCCCAGATATTTTTGCAATTAGTAATATCTTGGTGATCAAAGTAATTAATGCTGTTCTTGTGTGTGCAGCGTCTTCAGCGTCAAGTTGCGAGTTGTGCAGACTGTTCTTCAACGCGGCGAATGGCATCGAAAGTGCAGTCACGCAAGCCAAGGCTGCCAACTTTCAAGCTTCTATCTCCCATAAATTCGTTACCGAGATCACTAACACCAGAGGTATCCATCTATTTTAAGTATTTACCCATTAGGGCTTAGAGCATGCTTGAAGCATGGGGGTGTCGACACGACGACAACTATATCGACACTGTAAACTCATGGTAAAGATAATTACTCTGAAAACTCTAGCGATCGACCTGACAAATTTTTTTACGTAACAGATTTAGTAACTACCAGGGGTGCTGTACAAATTTGCTATACATAATCATAATCTCAGTACAGAGTACCAAAAAAACCGACCCCAAAGTCATTCATCTCCTAGTTTGCCACCCTTAGAGCGGAAATATATTCTTCTAATTTAAATGGACCACTTCTGAGATATCCGCTTTCCAACAAAAAAAGCATCATCAAAATCGGTTCACAAATTCGACTTATCACGTAACACACATACAAAAAAACATACAGTGGAATTGAGAACCTCCTCCTTTTTTTAATCGGTTAAAAATTGATAGGATTTTAACACAGAATGTAACACAAGGAAATCTTGAACAATATTTTCAAGCTCGAATGTTCATTACAGGCAAATGCACGACCCGATGGGGTTTAGACATCTCTCTACAAAATTTGTAACAGATCGACAAGCGCCCGGATTTTTATGCCGCGCTTTGTTAACATCATCATCATCCTATTTAAGACCCAGGCTCTTGTCAGTGTAGCCTCCTCCACTCCTCGCGGCCCATATCAATCTGCTTGACCTCTCTAAAGCTGCTCACTTTAATGTTCTTCTTTATTTGTTTACTGTACGCTATACTTTGTTAACGCCAGGGTTTAATCAGGTTGTTTCATTAACGACTAAAAATGAGCCCAGAAACTATTTACTATGAAATATTTGTTGTAAATCGAGTTTGGTTCAAATTCAATAATAGTATATACAAACTTGATACTATTACAAGATGCTTCTATTTGACTAATTTCCTCATTCAAATTGTGTGAAACGAATGATAATCAAATCAATCAAATCAATGTCGGACAGACGGATCATGATGAACTGCTATGAGTTTCGTTTCGTCTTTTGTGTAAACAGGTTGTTAAATATGTATTTTTCAAAATTATAATTTAAATAAGCAATTCATAGTCGTTGTATGGAGAATTTTAGAACTCGAGTAGGCTTAGGTTACTTTCTGGTAACCTCTTTATGTCTATTTATTTGCTGCTTTTTTCCTTTTGAAATTTTTCGAGCTGATTTTGATTCTTGGATAACTGTTAAAACCTAGTTTTTAACGTCGATTTACAGAGAAAATCAAACTGTTCTTAAATATATAGAAGTATTCTTTTCCTGCTTTGTTTTTTATCCCTAGCGTGCACAAATTGACCTAGAATATTTAGTTCTGTACGTGATAGGATTTGTTTTTCGAATCATTACTTAGGTAATAACAGAACTATCTAAATATGTACAATAAGTTTAATTCGGGGGAATACGCACGACTGAGACTCTACTGTAGTTTTTCGAAATGGTTTCATTAATTGTATATGTATTATGTAGCTATTATCAAATTATTAAAACAAGTTCTAGATTCCACGCCGGCGTAGTCGTGGGAAAGTCCAGCTAATTTAAAATAAAAATAAAAGAACCAGCGCAGAGTGCCAGTTTATGTTTCTGACCTTTTTCATTAAATTGAAATAAAATGACATCGGAGAGGATCAGATGAGAATATGATACCGAGTCAGTTTTTTTTATCAATCCAAAGTCGTTCAGACGGGATATATTAACGACATTTGCGCTACTGTTTGCAGAAACCATATCCTAAGAAGCAAGAGATACCGCCTCCACCGCCACCGCAGGCGAGAACTCGACGGCGACGGCGGCGGTGGACCGTGCAGTCGCCGCTCGATGCAGTGCCATTTCCCCAAAGTAACTGGCGAGTGCCACGCCCCTGCCGCCCATATAGCCTGTCTCCGCATTCCACCTCCAAGAGAGACGCGAGTCCAAGCCCATGCTCAGTCAGATCATGCTCACCAACAGTATCGCATTGCACAAATGAATACGTACGTGTTATTTGTAATAATAAGGAAGGATAAATTTATCTATAGATATAGCTGTATTTTTAATATGTACTTAGATTTTTTTCTATCTACGCTCGTTGTACGTTAGGATTCTATCATAATTATTTTCTTACTGGGAAATATTAGAACTAAAATAAAATAACACAAAACGATATATGTTTCAAAAGCCTATTTCGCCAAAAAAATAGTACCATAGTATAATAAAACTAGTGTGGTAACTCCATACAAACGTAGCAGTGTGAGTTGTAGGTGTGCGCGCCCGCCGTGTGCTGTGTACGGATGCACACATTTGCGTAATCTCGCGGTGCCATCGCGTGGCATAGCGCTGGTCGTCACACGCGTCTTTATTAATTACCTTCTTCCAATATGTGCGTGCGTACGCGGCGCGCGTGTATCCCGCGCTGCAACGTTTGTGTCATAGTAAAATAAGAGAAGTATGGTAACTCCGTACAAAGTAACACCACGGCTTGTATGTGCGCGCGACCGCTACGCGCCGTGTACAGACGCTCACATTCGCATAATAATGAAAGGCGCTTTGTGACGACCAGTGTTATGGAACGCAAGTGCATCGCGAGATCATGCGGATGTGTGCGTCGACACATACAAGCCGCGCTGCTACGTTTATGTGGAGTTACCACACTTGTCTTATTATGCCATGATAATTTACTTACAGGTACGTAATAACAAATGTAGTCAAGGAAACATAATAAGGAAATATTCACGTACAAAAAATACATTTCCAAGTACCAAGAAGCAAAGCATACTTCCAACAGTGTTAACACGAACTAGAGCTACTCAGACTGACTGGACATATAACAATAAACTGCAAGATATTTCGCCGCAGCGTTCACTAAACAAAAGGACAATTTCGTTGTCCAACCCTTCAAAATCTACTTCGACACACCGCCTAACTACCTCTACATTTCGTAATAAATCACCTGATCCACTTAAGAAAATCGTTTCGCCAAAACAATCACGAAAAATACGACTTGAGAACGAATTATCATCAGCTACTTTGGTGCAATTCAGATCTTTGTCACGAAACTGCCAAAAAAAGACTGGGAATAAGACCGAAAAAAAACGGTCAGGGTCTTCTCTAGTAAGAGGCTCTTATAAATGTAGTCGAGAGAACTTTTCAACCTCTTACACATTGCCCGTCGTCGAAATGTCACCGCTTTTCACAGATGCAAGTATCATCTTCCTAATCTTATAAATATCAGTAGGTAATGAAAGTAACATCAATTTTTAGATTATTTTACTTTGATTTATAAATTCGCTTCTGAATCTCGACCTAATTTTTACTGATGTTTCATCTTTGAACTCGAGTTAGGATTAATTTTGAGGAAGAAGCATTATTTTCAATTATTTTGCGCTCAGAACCAAAAGGTCCTTTTTGAGGTCAGATGTATTTTGGCATGGACACTCATAATAAACACAGTCGGCTAGTTTTGCAAACGCAGGTTTGATTTCAAAATTGTAATCTTTCATAAATCTTTCCATGCCTTTTCCCATTAGTTTGTAATAATTAGCAAAATTGCTATCATATACCCAGGGTACAGTTTAACATTATCGATAAAACCTGTGATCCATCGTGGTTAAGCCAAAAAATAAGCACGTCCACTAGCTGTGGAAGTTGATGCGCTCCTAGAAATTGTATAAAAATTTTATACAATTTGTGCAGGCGGTACTCTGACAAATCGCAGTCGACTGTAGCGCTTCTTTAAGATCACCCTTTAGAAGTTTAGATGTAGATCTCAATTTTAAGTGATATAAATAGAAATCAACCTTTTAATTAGGTGTTAATTATTATTATATGTAAGTTGGGTGGATTTTTTTATTTGCCTTGTACTGGGTATTGTTGAAGAGGATTTTATAAAGCATTCTTTCCATTTCCATTGTTATAGAAAGAATGCTTTATAAAATCCTCTTATGTTTTGATGTCAAACGTAGCCAAATGTTGGTAATAGGTACATCCTGCCCTTGTAACTTCAACTGTTCAGTCGAATCAAAATAAATCACTCATGTCTAAGGCGATATCAACGGAAATACCGTTACATCATGTGACAAAATCTTTTCGGGTTGGGTTACAATATTTACAATACAGATCTGTGGAGAAGATATGTCTTGTATTGTATTGATTTTATATTCTTATCTACCTAATTATCAGGACTGACATTCTTAAAGCGTAGAGATAAATGACACTCTTATTCGTACTTAGCCGGTTTTTATTAATTTTCCTTACTCACACTTCTATTAAATTGGGCAGGTCAAAAGTATTTTTTTTTAATATTCGTATAAACTACCAATTTCATCAAAAATATTCATATCACTCGTCTAGATTTAATGCTTCCCTTATTTCCAGGATCTCATAGAAATAATAGGGGAAAATCACGATAGACTAGTAAGAAAGTTAAATCAGCCCTCGAGGAGGAAAGCGGCTCCGTCTACTATGACCCTTTTCCTACTAAAGAGGAAAATCTGTCGCGTTAAAAAACAGCCACCCTGGAGGTGAGGCCGTGTTTACGTACGCTACTTTAATGTCATTAGGTAAGAATACCCATCACTCGGTTATGTTTTTTTAGCGCGTAGAAGAATATAGATATACTTATGTATATATCATGTCTACAGTTTGATATTTTGTTTTTTGATTAGGTTCTAGTTTATTATTGTATATATAATTAAAATACTGCTATGATTTTACATCTTTTTTTTTTCTCGCTGCTAATCTTGATAGACGCGCTTAGCGCGAACTAATTTCAGCTGTTTGTGGGAACTAGCATTGTATTGAAACTTTCTATGTTTGTTACACATTTAACACAATGTGTCGTATTTCTCACACTTTTTCTTACGAATATTCACAAGTTTTTTTTAGAGATTAAACTCTTCTTTGGGATTAATAGATTTCTAGTCAACCCGTGACCATGGAGCGTGCAACCGTTCCGAAATATCGGGAAAATAAAAAGAAGTCATACCGTGGTAAGAAACCTGATACTAGTGATAATCATTTAGTGAATAACCGCGAAAGTCTTAAAATCTATATAATAGATTTTTGTATATCAAACAGGTAGGTAATCAAGTAACGCCTTGGTATTCAAAGGATTAAAATAAGGTACGAAATACTCACACGACAGTTTTTAATTGGTATATAACTTAGGACTATTTCCTTACTTACGACTCTTTACAAAATTACAACAGACATATCGACTATAAGGGCAGTACAGGGAGTGCTTTTCACACGAATAAAATAATTTACAAAACAGTCGAACATATACATCACGCTCATTAAATAACTTAATAAATAGCTCACACGTCACCGGGCTTCGATCGCGACCGTGGCAGCGCCTCAGCGCCGCCCGACCGGGTCCGAAGCACGCACTCTCTTTGGATCCGAGAAGAGTTTATGGAACGTCCTCGCGTCACTCGCGCTACACCAAATTCGTTAGTTCGCGTGCTTCACGTAGTCTGTCTCGTAGTAGGCTGTGGCGCCGTGCGCACCTTTCCTGTCGAGCGCGCGCACGCGGACGAACAGGAACGCGGCCACCAACGAGGCAACCACCAGCACTAGCAGTAACATCACCAGGCCTGCCACAAACGACGGCACTGACATGCAGATCGTCTCCGGGTCACTCGCCGGAGACTGAATCACCACGGTCTCGTTCGCCGCAGCGTTGTTCAAAGCAAAATTTACGTCACCCGGTGCTACCACCTGAATCGTCCGGCTCGTGTTCACATCTGTCATCTCTTGTGCGTCACGCTTATAAATTCGTGTCGGCGTAGACGTTTCTCGTCGCCTTCTGACTCCGACTAACCTCTCGGGCAAGTCTTCGACCGACCGAGGTCTGCCACCTAATGTTGCGAGATTGCCGTGAGCTTCATCTTTCCTTTTTACAGTGTTATATACTCCCCGTCGACCAGGGGGAGGTGGAGGTGGTAGGTTGACTTCGTCTTCTTCACGTGCAGGTGCGGGTGATGAAGGGCTCGGTGCATTTGGAGTTGAAGATACTTGCGCTTGCGGTGGTGGCACTGCATCGTCTCGTTTTTCAGAGAAGGAGCCTGCCGCATCAGCTGGGTGTCGTGGATCGGGGTATGCAGGTGGCACTCCGTATTCGCCATGAGGTAACTGCGGTGGAGGCCCATACTCAGCGTGTGGTGAGTTCGGAACTCCATATTCTCCGGCGCCAAGTGTGTTACCTCCCAGTAATGGTACACCATAATCTGCTCCGAGCCCACCGCATTTCGGTTCGGGACAGTTATACCTGCATACTTGAATTACACATTGGAAGTGCACATTCATTGAATCGGGAAATTTGAAAGCTTGGAAGTATGCGAATGAAACTACTGAAGCTGACGGACCGAAGTTCTTTATCTTCTGGAACTTGCTCATTATCTTCGGCCGCACCACACATCCATATTGATCAACAAGTTGTATAGGAGCTCGCTTGCCGTCATGTGCAACGCAGTTTCGTACAAGCATATCGAATTTGTTTTCATCGTCTTTGATTGCCAGCACCATTGTCATTGTTTGTCCAATCTTTACTATGCCTGACACTTCGGAAGCCCAAGGTCCTTTGCCCACTTGAATTTGCATCCAGCACTGCAAGTTATCGCCGAGAAAGTTAGCAGTAACTGCATGTAACATATCCACTTGAAATGGTCTGAACGTGACTGCTTTCTCGTAGAAGTCATACCAAGTACACCGTAGTTTTCTGGCTTGATCCCAAACTTCTTGTACGTACGGATCGTATTGTACAATAATCGTGTTTTCGACATATGAGCCGCTGGGCGTGGGGCTGCCATAAGTGGCCACGTTGTGATTCGCTGAACTTGACATACCGCAACTGTTAAGGAAAATTTCAAATGTTGCACTAAGATGACCAGTACCTGGTTTTAGATGCATACAGTGAGGATCACTGTAAAATCCTTTAGAGAAAATCATGCCGTAGAAAGGTCGATCGAATTCGATATTAACACGCATGTGTGTTTTTTCACATTGCACTTGTAAGTGTTTTATCTTTGGACTGTCCGGTGTAGCGAGTGGCCAGGGATCGTCTGTTTGTGTTGGAAGCAGCGGCGGTCCATAACCACCACCTGCTCGATGCTCGAGTGGTAATGAAGCTGAATCCACTGGAGGTTCGCATTTTGCATCCTGAAAAGAAAAATATACTTTTGAATGTTATAAATAAATCATATTCTAGGATATTTTTGTTTGGTATTAGTTTTACATCAAAATGTTATCGTAGGTTAGTGGAACGAGTGCAGACCGCAGAGTAGCACATTCATCTGTCGTCGCACTCTAGTTGGCGCCACGCGAACGCGTGCGCGCCCTGACGGCATCCCGCGAGCTGCGCGGGCGGCGGCGGCTGTGGCGCGGCGGGCGGCGGCGTTCTTGCCCACTTTCTACACTGATGGATAGCTCGCGCGAGCAATTATAATATTAATCAGCGCAATCATACCGCAGAGATGAGTTCCAAAGCTGCTTTCACGATACTTGCGTCTGCGTAATGGCAAATTCAAAGATACGGTGCTGCTTTTATACCTCTATAGGATTTGCGTCGTGTGTTACACATGTGCAATGCAATCAATCACTATGCCAAATCGTAGTTGTTCACTAAATAATTATCAAGCAATAAAAGATTATATAAGTTTTCATTATTATTTTCATATATTATTTTTATACAGTCACAGGTTGACTGATGAATGGTTGAAATATCGAGAAAAGAATAAGATTTCATACTGTGGTAACCTGTAAGTAGTGGTATCATAAATATTTAACTACCACTCTACACTTCTAGTCTTGTCTTTACAATTTTGTCGAAGAGATCAATTCTCTTTACGCTGAGTTAACTATATGCAAGCTTAGGTGTGTAATATTTCTTTATTCCTACGACAGTTTGCACTTAGCAGAAATAGATATAGTTCAAAACGATGCCATGAATCTATAATCATGATGGTTTAGACTATAATCATGAATGTAGAAAATATATGCGAATTGAGTGGATATAAAATTAAGTCCACTTATGGGTTCGAGATTATATGGGGCGAGAGCTGCTACAGGTATCAACAAGTGTGTAAGAATAGCAGTTTAGTACAAGTGGTCCCTGCAGCGGGCGCGCGTTTCTAACCGGTTAGAAATTATCCAGTGATCGAGATTGTCAGTGCGGAAGAAAACACCGGACCTATAAACATGCACAACGACAACTGAAACTTTCTTTGACAGAGGTCCGAGTTTGAACGTGGAAATTAAGGGCCTTTACTTAAGAGTTTGTGCAATTAAAACTCCAATCGCGTCCATTGGTTATCAGAATTGTAAAATAGAAGATGCTAAGTGAAACACTAATAAAGAAGACCAAAGCAATGTGAATAAAAATAATAACTAACAAGCTTTCGTATTGACGAGTAAAGTGACTAAAGCAAAATAATTGCAAGAAATTGATAAAGATTAGTGGCAGTCTTAACGCGCATGAGCATGAGTCGAGCAGCAGGTGCGCCCGCGCAGGTGAAAGTATTCGCCTTATGCCGCATCCGCTTCCCAACTAATTCAAGCGAAATATGCAACCCCTGTTAGTTTGTTTACGCCGGATGTGTTATTCATCAGTTGTAACTTTTGGCATAATTTGAACAAGTTTTATATTTATTGTTTCATTCACGTTGAATACACTCATGCATAGACCACAAAAGAGGTACGCCGTTCACGTGGTAGAAAAGTAAAGAAATAATAATTCATTGTTGTCAAACGAGAGTAAATTGGTGTACATTTTATCAAGGCAGAATGTATTTACGCGTATAGAACCAGCATATTCTAATTAATTCAAATTACGATGCTATTTCTTTTTGGACTTATTTCTTACGTAAGTCTGGTTTTGAGACTTGTTCAGCCTATGTACTACATACCTATAGAAATGGTACGCGCAAATGAAAGTTGTTTAAATGAGCGAGAAATGTGTGGAACCGGAATTTTGTTTGCTTCTGCGTCGGTGAATCCTAACAAGGTCGAGGTTATTTATGTTTTCTTGAATTCCTATTGCCCAGTGTCCTTGAGTGTATAGTAAGTTATATCGCATTTCCGCTCCTCGTTCAACTAACGGCTTTTTACTTTCAAAATAAGCAAGTTTAAAAATTTCTCTCGAACTTACTCATCCTCTGTTTTTCTTAAAAGACGACGTTGGAATATGGGTACGTGTCAATGGCGTCATTTTTTGTTTTCCTTGATTAAATGACGCTGCTTACTTACCTTAATAAGTATGCATGGACATCATATTAGGTCTTATTATTAATTAATTATTATTTAAACTTAAGGTACTTCAAATACAGAACTTGACCATACACACATAAAAGGATATCAGTATAACATGGGTCATTTATATAATGCGGGTTGCTATTTAAAGACATTATTGCGATCGAATCTCCGACTTGAATGGGTTATATAACAATGTAGCTAATAAATATTGTATGAATTCGTATTTATACATAAATGGCGTAGAAACACATACGATTAGTGAAGAAACTTGCATATTAACAAAATCGTTAAATTAACCCTTGATGGAGTAGCAATAGATCGCAGTGTGTAATTTCATTAAGCCGTATTAGGGTGATTAAAATTTATACACGGTAACGAAGTAAACAAACTGTCTCTTCTGTATTCAAAGCTACAAACCTGTGTAATCGTCCACTTATTTATTGGGAATTTTCGACAAAATTAATTTTGGTGAATCAAAAAGAATGAAGCAGAAATCTGCTAGTGAAATCAATTTCCATTTAACGCTTCTAAAGCTCTTATCTAACCTCTTTCATGTGGTATTAATTAGTGCACACGGCCGTGTGAGACAGATAAGTAGGCGAATCGAACAAGCTCATCGCGTTTTCTGCCGGTATAAAGTACAAGTACAAAATTTATAAAAATATGTACTTTTTCTGCGATCGAGTATTTGCAGAACAAAACCTATGTGTATCAGACAAAATTTTACAGGAGAACTAAAAATTATAAATCAAGGTTTTCCTTTAAATGTAAAAAAGTAGGTATAATAGGCAGGGCACCAATCAACGATAATATTGATGTCACAAAAATGACTACAACTTATATATTACAAATTTTACATCCCTTACTAACTTTGAATATTTATGTACATACGCCAGTACATCAAGCTACACATTGACCTATCTTGTTCCGTTGCAATGGAGGCGATTTTCGGACAAAAATGTGTACATAAGAAAAGTTACTCGGCAGACCAAGAGCAAAACCTAGTAAGCGTTTTAGACAAAATTTTAGTAATCAATGGGGCATGAAGGAGAGATACTTTAAATGCTTAAAATAGTAATGTTTACTTAAAGGAAAATCTCTTTTATTTATGTTAATATAATAACTGCATCTACAGATTTTTGGAAAAGCTTGCCATGGATGCGATTAATAATAAGGATAAAATATCTTTAATACACATTATGTCTTGGGACAGTTAAAGATAACCTAGAAATCTAATTTTAATATAATAGTAATATCCACTCTAACGTGCAGCACACGTTGTACCGAGTATCTACGCGTATATATAGTACAAATTACTTTCTTTTGCAAATTATTCGAAATTGTTATATACATTGTTATATATATATTGTTATATACATTTACAAATTGTAATTTTTACATTTTAATAGTGAGGCCCGTTTTCTTTCATACACAGATCTAGTCCCTTGAGATTCACTTCGTGTACCCTTCTGCAATGTGTTGTGGTGAATGCTAATAATAACATTTTGTACCTTGAGCCTTAAAACAATTGTACAGTCTTAGACTTATTGTAAATTATTTTTTTACATGGCATCATAAAAAATGTCCAGAAGCTTTTAAGGTCTGGAAATATTGCAGGCCGTCTAATTCTCCCGTTTGAACCTATCTTGATATTGAAGTTATAATTAGTGGATATTCTGCTATTATGAGACGAAATACAGGCCTGATAAAATGTTATTTCGATCCTTCTCCGGTAAAAGGTTTAATAAAAAAATTATAACGTGTTTTTACTTTTTGAATATAAACAGTGATACTAAAAATTTTTCATGGACATTTAATCGTACGCCCCAATGCTCATTGAAGGATTTTATTGTTATCATTGATCTTATCTATTAGTACGACAAAATAGTGAGTATTGGAATTTTTAGTCGGTTCGATTCCCAGCTAAGGCAAACATTTCAACTAATCTGTGAATGCGAATGAAAGAAGAAAAATAATAGTTATTTGTTAAGCAAGGCAGCAAACTTGTTGCTTGACGCGAGTGCCTGTACTGAAACCTGAAAAGGGCGCGGGCGAGGGTTTTAAGGCACGAGACGCAAAACAATTTTGCTGCTGAGCGAAACACACAACTTTTCATGTAGATGAAAGAAACAAATCAGTTTTTAACCGACTTTAAAAAAAGGAGGAGGTTCTCAATTCGACTGTATGTTTTTTTGTATGTATGTTACGCGATAACTTCGCCATTTTTGAACCGATTTTGATGATTCTTTTTTTGTTGGGAAGAGGGTACCCCATAGTGGTCCAATTTAATTCCACGTACTTTTGAGGTCGGTTTTTTTAGTACCCTGTACTGGGGTTATAATAAACAAAATAAGATGTCGTTGTCAATTTAATGTCAACAATAATAAGATAAATAAAACATACTAACGAATTTAAATTACGTCTATTAATACGTTGAATGTGGCATAGTTTTTTTCTATCGAAAGAAAAAGTTAGGTGCACCGTAATCCAATCGTCAAGTTCGAATTTTGAAAAACCGCTTCCACGCTAGCGTGGAAAAAACGCTTTTACACGCAGATTTCGAGCTAATGAGGTGAAAAAGTAAAATTTGGTATCTTAAGCATTTAAGGCAGTTCTTCTTCATATTATTGACTCTTTCTATGCTGCATGTATTAATTGCTTTGTAAAACAGCTTGACGTCACTCGGCGCACCAAATCTACTGTGCACCATTTCACAATTCAAATACCTAGTAAGGCGCTTTAATTACTTTACTCAAATACATGCTATGTTTTGAATTGGTTAAAGTGACTTACTAGGTTTTTTACTGGTTACGAAGTAAACTAGATGTGTCTTAATAAGTTTTAAGGTTTCTAAATCTCTGGTAAATTGTAAGATTTTGAAGTTGCTGTCATTACAGTTTGGTGAGTAA